GCCTAGCGGGGGAGGGGGTTGACCTTTCCACTTTCCATCGCGGATGGAGAGGATGGAGGCGTTGAGGTTGCGGAGGGCGCCGAGGATGAGGAAGATTGCAATGTCTGCTGTTGCGTCGTCGACTGCGGTGGGTGTGTTTGAGACGAGGATGGGGTTGGGGGAGCGGGATGTGCAGGCTGGGATGTCGATTTGGTCGTAGCCGGCGCCTTGGTGTTGTTTAGCATGTGGTGTCTGATCTACTGCTACTACTGAGGGATTTGTGATGGGAAATGCGTCATGTCGGGCGTGTTCTGAGCGTGTGAGATGGAAGAAGAGGAGGGAGGCTCACCATTGTGGCAGATGAAGTCTACGCTGGAGGGAAGAACGGCGACGAGCTCGGCATCGATGCGGCCGGTGATGTGGACGCTTGCAAAAGTGCGGTAGATTGCCTTCACGCCGTCGAGGGCGCCGGACTTGCACTCCTCGAGGAACTCGGCGCGATTGGTGGCCTTTGGCTTGATGATTTGGGCGACATCAGCGAGGGAGGCCCAGGTGTCGTGGGCGCTTTTGGGTTGTGCTTGTTAGCTTTGGTTTGGTGCGTCTGGTTGAGATGAGGAAGGGTGATACAGGGGTTGTAGTGGGAGGATGTGAATACGAGGCTGAAGGTTGATTCGGGAGCATGAGACGACAATCGTCTAAATGGAAGACGAAGGAAGACGTACTGCTCGATTTGGCCCAGTTGGAGGACTATGGGCTTTGACATGATTGCGGTAGTTGAAGCAATTGGCTTGAAATCGACTTCTCTTGAGAAGTGTTTGTCCTTTGATGGAATTGCAAACTTGAGTATGCGGAATATTGGTTAGCTCCAGATAATCACGTATATCCCATCACGTCGCTCTCTTCGCAAGCCAAAGATCTTCTGGAAATTCAGAGATATTGCGCTGGCGCTTGACGCAAGAGGAAAACTCACTAGACCAGCCAACCTGACTTGTGATGGCGAAATATGAGGTTAGAGTAAGTTTCGTCACCTCGCCGAGTTGATGCCGCGAAGTCGGAGTTGAGATACAGCGGCGCGGGGTGGCTTTCCCATTGGGAAGTCGACTCAATTGGGAAAGTGGGGGTTGATCAGTGGGGTTGAGCTCAATTGGTCGCCCAAACTCGTTCTCTTCCAACAATCTCGCCAACAAGTCGTGCTCGGGAGGACTGAAGACGGTTGAGGTGATTCATATCTCTACTGAGAATTCTGATACGAGCTTGCAGGTTACTACTCGCAGGGATATCCAACAGTTTAGAGAATGTGTCTCTACAGGGCGTGAGAGGGCGTGAAAGGCACCCCACCGGACCTGGCATCTTATCTCAGCCCCGAGTCGAGCGAGGGCCGTGTCCCAAGGTACGCTCCAATTTCTTCGGGGAGAAGACCGAGTAGCTTCTGTGCAAGCATTGGCAGTCCTCAAATGAGTCAGCTTCTTCCATGGACGTGATAGAATTGAGAGGCTCTCGACACTTTACAACTGTTTGTAGGATCTAGTTGGACAAGTTCAGCCAGCGGTCTGTTTCCTAGATTGCGTATATTGAGATGGATAGGCCAACGTCACCTGAGCGTGATAGAGCCAGAAGAATAGAGATGGCTATCAAGAGAGAGGGATGGCTTCGAGTCATACAGCCGGTGATTCTCATGAGTCGTGTGAAATTATCCCGGGAGACACTGTAGCTCTGAGCTGCAGGGAAGGCGACATCTAATGCTTTCAGAAAGACAGGGTGGGCTCATCGAATAGTGAGTGCAATAGAAAAGCCTCCAACAATCATTTACGTACTGTCTGGTTGACGCAGGATATTTGACAAGAGATCGAAACATAATCTGCTTGTCTTGAGAAGGCTCAAGTCTAGGGCACCGTGCTTGTGTTTAATAACCGTTACGAACTCTATAGTGTACACCATCTTGGAATGGCTAGTTGTCAAAAGCAAGCTTATATGACATGTTGCACTTGAGTCTCGGCGTATCATGAAGCTTCTCATCATCAGACTTCCTCATTTCTCACAATGCCCTAGATAACTCCCCGCAAGTCAAGAGTGGCAACGAACATCTCCCAATAGGTCAGATATGAAAATGGTATCATTAAAGCACTGCGATAATCACCAACTGTCCTCCTTAAATACAGCCTGACAACCCATTCCTCCAATGAAATCCCTTGCATCCTTCTCAGACTTGAATACATGTGGATGCGGCTTCTTCTCCCCCTCCGCATCAACCTCCATCCCCAACACCCCGTTCGGGTCAACCACAACAACACTCCGCTCATCCAGTAGTAACCTCCGAATATTCTCATGAACGATCCTCTTGGCGATATTGTTCAACGAATACGCATCCCGAAACGAGAAAACAACCGCACACGCATTCTCATGCCGTCCCGACCCGGGATCCTCCGGATCCGGCGACCCCAGCTCCCTTGCCAGCGCCCTCGTTAACCTCTCTGACCCAGCGAACCGCACCGCGCCGCGCAGACTGAAAATGACCACCTCCCGCTGACAATTCGGGTTATGCGGCTCATGCGCTCCCGCAACGAGCGTCGCCACCGAAGTCCTCACCGTCGCGCTGGCAATCTGACTCACGTCCATCATATGCAAGCCCATATCGCGCGAGAGCTGCTCGCACATGGCCACCCCGCGCACACTGTTCCCCCGCTCATCAAGCTTCGGCGAGAAAGAGGCGAGCCCGACCTGCCCCGGCAACGCGCCAATGATCCCGCCCGCGACGCCCGATTTCGCGGGGATCCCGACGTTGGAGACCCAGTCGCCCGCGGCGTCGTACATGCCGCACGTGGTCATCACCGACAAGACCTGCCTCACGCTCGTCTGCGGGATGACGGACTCGCCCGTCAGAGGCTGCACGCCGCCGTTGGAGAGCGTGGCGGCCATGACGGCCAGGTCGCGGACGTTGACGCTGATGGAGCACTGCCGGATGTACCCCTTTACGGCCTCGCGCGGGTCGCAGGTGATGATGCCCGCGGCTTTGAGCATGTACCCGATGCCCATGTTGCGGTCCGCGTCTTTGAGTTCCGCCTCATAGACTTCTTCGTCTACGTGCAGCTGGCGGCCTGCGAGGCGCGAGAGGGCGGAGAGGATGCGTTCTGTGCGCTGTTCCAGCGTCGCGGAGGGGGATACGACGAGGGAGTGCGCCGTGATGGCGCCGGCGTTGATCATGGGGTTCATGGGCCTGTTGGACCCGCGCTCGAGGGAGAGGCGGTTGAAGGCGTCGCCCGAGGGCTCGACGCCGATCTTTTCGAGGACGGCGGGGAGGCCCGCGTCCTCTATGGCGAGAGCGTAGACAAAGGCTTTGGAGATGGACTGGATGGAGAACTCGACGCGGTCGTCGCCTGCCGAGTAGAGGTTCCCGTCTACCATGGCGAGGGCGACGGCCATTTTGGACGTGTCCGCTTTGGCGAGCACGTCAATGTAGCCCGCTGGGGCGCCGGCCTCGTTGGGTCGCGCATTCTCGAGGACGCGGTTGAGGTAATCCGGGATGGGGGATTTCATTTTCGTGTAAGTGGGATGTGAATCGTGGAGCCACGGTGAGAAGGAGAAACTCATCGTGAGTTTCTTCTTAGATTCGAGACAAGTGGGAAAGCGTATATATGTAGATTGCACTTGGCGCTTACTAACAGCCCGTTTGTGCTGTTTTCAGCAGTTCTGCAGTTTAGCGGAATTCCGCGAGCCCACGCGATGGTACTGGCAAGAACGCCTTTTCTTTTCTTGTCAACGGGAACCGGTTTCGTTCCGTTGGCAAAACTCTCACTAAGATATGGGGTGTTAGATAACTGTCTGTCGGGCTTTCGAATATCCACTACCTGACTCAACGGTGAGGCGAGTGAATGTAAGACCTACAGTTGGGAGTGAAACGTCGAGTAGAATTCGTGGAGCGTACCGGTAGTTGGATGATAGTGATGAGAATAATTGAAAACAAAGAGCAACTCTGGTCCTTCGAAAATATCCCGGAAGCGCTGAGTCGCCATGAGCTCTTTTGATTGTAAAAATTGCCAAATTCGGTAACCCTAACAGTTCCACCTCGAGATCCGAAGCTGGTCGTAAATACGACAAACGCAAGGTTTTCCTTAGGTAAAAGGACCGGAAAATTTCGCATCTCGAGTTTCAACACCACCACCAAATTCGAATAATAAAAAACATGGCCGACATCGCATGGACCCCAAGTAGAGGCATCTTGGCAAAAAGAGGTTTGGCGAAAGAGTAGCATGCATTTCCGAATCTGCATCGAACCTCGCTAATCGCCTGCTAGGCTCTTCAATCGTGGTGACTTGCATGATCCCCGCATCTCATCGCTGCAAAGGGTCCTCAATATCAATACGTTGGTCCTGCGTCTGGCCGGGTGGTCGACATCTCAGTCAACGTCATCATCGTCGATTGCAGCCTCGCGATACTTGTCATCCAACTTTACCTTCGACTATCAACCTCAAGTGGCATAACCAGAAACCTTATGGCATCTCACCAGACACAACGATGCTAGTTCAAAATTTCTTGATTTCTACTGGCCTCCTAAATCCAGGACCAAGGCCATGCTGTCTAATATCGTACAGAGTATCAGCAGCCTCTAGGTCCAGAAAGTCTGGTAGCTTCCTCCCAGGAAAGCTCTACGGGAGACCTCTACCAAGCCTCCCATCCCCCTAGTCACTGCTGCACTCAAAAACCACTTTTTCTTTTTCTTCCCGCCACACCGCCGCCATGCCTGAATAATCACTAGTTTTTAGGGGGAACTACTTGTACAAGATGATGCCGTCGGCCGTGAAACTGTAGGACGAGCAGCAGCGTATTGCCGCCCGTATGCTTTGATGCAAAAAGGAAATTGAAAAGCACAAAAGGGAAGAAAGCCATGCTCCCCTCCCATCCCTGTGAACGCCTCTGAAAATACACGATTTTTGGTTCTCCCCCGCCCCCTTTGAGCCTGGAAAATGCTGCAGAGTGTGAATGCTGATAGGAAAAAAACGAAAAATCTGGTTGGATCAATATGATCAAGGCTGTGCTGGAGCAGCCTGGTGGGGGTGTGCCGCAATATTGACCCCGGGACTGATGTACGCTCTGATGGCAATCTCGCCGAATCGCCGGACCACGTTTGTTGTTCCGCCGGTCACTTGAGCCTCATCCTGAATGAACTTGTTCGCTACGAAGAGTCGGTTCTTAGGGTCGGACTCATCCATATGCTGGGGCACATTCCGCTCAAAACCGACTTCCACGCGAGGAGAGAGCTCTCGTGAGATGGCGATGGAGTAGATGAGATCTCGGTTCTCTCTTCCACCGAGCTGCATTCTGAGTTTGCCGAGAACCTCATCACGCTTTGCTGGGTCGTAACAACACAGATACTGTGCAAGGTTATACCAGAACTCAAACTCCTGCTCGCGATGAGGCTGGGTGTCAGGAACAGGAGGTGTGAGAGGATTTGAGGACAAGAAGTCGCCGCAGAGGAGGGTCTCCATGACCTTGACTCGGTTGGCTGCTTCTGTCAGGTCATCCGGAGGTGGCAGAACCTTGGCATCGGCGTTGGACGAAGGGGGAGCGCTATTGCATGGCAAGATGGCCAGGGCCCAGATCAAGCGAGTCTCGAGAACTCCAGAATGGGTCATCTGGGTGTGGTCATTGGCCGGGACAGACTGAACAATCTTGAGGAACGAGGCAAATTGGCGCAAGAGTTGCTGGCTGTGCTCAAAGGCAAACTTTCCCTGGGCGTCCTGCTTCTGGAAGTAGTTTGCCTCGAAGAAGGACTGGAGACCGACAGCATAGACCTCGCGATAGACGTTGATGATCTCGGTGAGTAGCTCGGGAGTGAGGGCAATCTCCTGGGTGGGAGCAGCGGGGCCCAGGAGGCCGATCAGGTCATCGACCTTCATTCTGGTGGCTGTGTAGGTCGCGTTAGTATGAGGGTTTGAGAACGAAGCAACAACGGCTGAAAGAGAACAAGGCATGTACAATGATAGCGGGAGGGTCGCACCTCTGAGATGGTTGTCGAAGCCTGCCCTTTGCTCGCCCGAGAACGACTGAGTCTGAGTAGAATGTAACGTTGCCGGGGCGGGTAGGTTTTGCAGAGCTGGATCTATCGGGGCCGCAAAGTCGTAGGCGGTGGGCTCGGGTTTGATGCCGGACGCAGCAGAATTCAAGGCTGGATCGAGAGGGGCGTGCGAAGATGGAACGGGAGGATTATACGAGCTGGGCAAGACGGCGGGCTGGTTTCCGTAGGGGTTTGATGGAGCTACCGGCACGGGGACCTGAGGCGCGGCAGGCGTTGAAGGTACAGTCGGGACCGGAGGTGGGACGGATGATGGCACGGACGGGATGGTCGGCGTCGGCACCCGCTGGGCGTTCGGAGCGGGCTGGATTACGGAAGGACCTGGCTGCTGCTTGAAGATGGGGTCGTATCCCAAACACTCTCGCTTCGACTTTTTACAGTTGTTGCAGGAGGGGTGAGCCTCGTCACACTATAAGAGATGGTTAGAATGGCGGCTTTTACTGAGAAAAGAGCTCAACCAAGAGTGGCCTCGTGAGCGAGGAATGAGAACGACAACGGGTATGTATGTGTAAGACAACTGGGAATATGAGAGTGGGGAAATGCAGCGGGTGAATATGCAGATGCCGTTTGCGGGCGACGATGGTAGGGCTGTGTGAGATGTGTGTGTATTGGGGGTGATGATGAGGTAAGGTGAATGAATTGGAGTTGGAGTCGATGAATGTCGCAGATGGGACGAGGCTAGGCCCAGCTCAGGTACCTAGCGGCAGTCGCGACAGATGGGTGAGGGTGGCTGGTGCTTGGAGTTTTTGGAGGCGTGTCCGTCCAGGTTCTCTATGGTGTGGTGGCTTGACGCTTGTCCTGAGGCCTCAACCAAGGCTGGGAGGCTGGGAGGCTTGGAGGCTTAACTGGAAGGGAAGGAAGGAGGGGAGGGGCTTTTCTTGCCGGGCAGGCGGGCGCGGCGGTCGGTTCTGCAGGAACGGAAGATTGCTCCTCCCTGCGGGCGTGGGCGCGGGCGCGATCCCGGAACGTGGTTCAAAGGCATGGCTCCCGTCCTCGCTTCGCAGTAGCTCCAGACCAAGCGAACATCAAGCGACCGTTTTTTTTTTTTTTGGCGAAACCACGACTCGGTTCGCTTATCGTAAAGTTTGTTTGGTTCTTTGCCATCTTTTGCATTCCCGAGCTTTTCAAAATGTTGCCTTTCATGCGCGCGCTTTCTCAGATGGGGAGTCTCGAGAAAATTTCCCCAATTACCTCTTTGCCTCGACAACGCCCAATTCGTAGCGGGGGTATGGTGATATGAAAAAGACGGAAAAAAGGACAAACAGAGCAGAACTTCACGAGAACCATTACTAACCTTGATACGGCGTTTACGACAAGTTAGGCAACCTGTCTTTGTGCGGCGCTTGATCTCCTAGTAAGAAAAAGAGGTAAACCCCAACCGTCAGCTTTTATCCAAACGAGCCACCGCTACTGCCGGAGCAGCCTTCTTCCGTCTCTTTGCATATCCCTTCAAACATACCTTCTTCGGCCCACCGGGACCGCGCATCAATCTAGGATCGTGCCCGTGGGGGATTTGATATCTCAGGTGGTTGAGATCCTGCGTCATATATGGGTTGCTCTGTACTCCCGGTGGGAGGTAGTATTGCATGCCTTGGTTGGGCGCCATCTGCATCTGCATCGACATCGTCTGAGGAGGCGGCGGCGCACTTTGTTGGTAGTGGTGTTCGAGGCTCTTCATGCTCGGCAGAGAAGGAATCGGCGCGCCAGGACTGGCTCGATATGGGTCCGCCTGAGCTTGCGTCTGCTGAGGGTGGTAGGCATATTGGTTCGGCGGCATAGGACCAGGTGACGGGAAGGCATTGGGGCTCGGGTAGCCTCTCTGGGAGCCATGAGGGTGCTGATTATGCGCCATGCCGGGCGAGTGTGACTCCCTCGCGTCGCCGTTCTGCTGACCGTTCTGCTGAGGAGGGAGAGGCGCAGGAGCTGCCACCGCAGGCGTAGTAGACTCAGTCGCAGTCGAAGTCGCAGTCGCAGTCGCGCTCGTGGTCGAAGGACCAATCGCAGGTGCCGCAGCAGTGCCAGGTACAGACGCGTTTGCAGTCGCGACGGACGGCGTCTCGGTGGAGGGAGTCGGTGTCTCGAAGGAGGTCGAGGTCGGTGTCGTGGAGAGAGGAGCAGGAGCAGGAGCAGGAGCAGAAGCGACGGGAAGAAGAGGAGAGGTCGAAGTAGTCGGGGGGAGGATAGAATTAGTAGAGGTTGTCGAGGGATCCGTACTAGGAGCGGCGACGTCGTTGACATCAGGCACAACTGGTACAGGCACAGGCGCAGGCACAGGTACAGGCACGCTGGAGGTGCTGGCACTTGTGCTGCTTGTGCTGATGCTTGTGGTGTCTTCTTGAGCCATTTCGATTTTAATTAGAAAATTTTATGGAGCCACGATTGGACTTGTGAGGTCGACCAGGGGAAGAGGCGTGGATGGAAGGAAGCAGCAGCGTGGATGCGCGACACCCTGGGTGCAGGTTGATCAGGAGCTGTGCCTGGTGCGTGGTCCCTGTTCTCAGCGTCGCGACTCGAGGCGAGATTTTTTTTTCGTGTCCAGTCTTGCTTGTAGCTCGACTGCTGCTGCCACTTGCTGCTGGTCCCGGGACTGACTGGGAGGAGGCGGGAGGGGGTGCGGAGGAGCGGCAGCAGGAGGAGGAAAGGAAGGGTACGCGTAGGGGTGCCTGTGGGTGTGTGCGAAGGAGGAATTCGACTTGGGGTGGGCGCCTTTTCGGACCAGTGTCGTCAAGCAGCAGCACGGAAGGAGGTCTTTTCGGGACCGGGACGAGCAGAGAAAGAGAGGAGAAGGGCGATTGTGGATGGCCAGGAGTTTCTCCTGCAGTTCTGGACCCCCTGTGCTGCTGTGTGTCGAATGTGCAGTGCAGTGTGCAAAGCCAACGTCCACCTCAGTGTGCAGTGCAGAGGAAAGCACAGATTGTCTTGCGCGCAAAGTGGCAGACGACGTTGTTCGGGTGGGTGTTGTGGTGTCGGCCGAGAAGGAAGGCCTGCACTAAGGCAAGGTAGGGAGCGGCGCGCGAAGAGGGAGAATCGAGCAAGCCAGTGGCCCAGCCAGATCTGCACAATTTTCGCGCGACGGGTGCTTGGGTGCGCGGGTACTTGGTGCTGGGAGCAGGACCTGGACCTGGGATTGCTTGGATGCTGGATGCTTGCTTGGATGAAGGGGACTCGTCTTCCCGTTTCTCGGCCCCAACACTAACAGGCTGTTTCCACGCGTGCGCGCAGGACGGAGGGGCCAGGGGGTGGTCGGGGTACGGAGTATCCGTCGTCGTCTACTCTGGGCTTGAGCCTTGAGCACTCGGTTGTAGTCTGTACGAAGTATCCGTAGGTATGGCAGTCTGCGAGGTGTGACTGGGTGACTGGGTAAGGTGGTCTTGATTCCGAATGTACCTGCGCGTACCTTACAGAGAAGGCAAGCCGCAAGCCGCAAGAGGGGTCGGAGTCGGGACGAGGCCAGTCGAGAATAAGATGGTGTCTGGTATTGGTCAGGGAAGACGGCGTATTGGTGGTGCGGGTGGATCTATCAGAAGGAGGCGGTAGAAGAGGCGGATGATGTTAAGGAACGAGACGAGGAGACAGCGCGGGCGACAGGCACAGGCACAGGCATTGGATGCCCATGGGTGAGTTTGAACGAGGGGGTGAATTGTGCTGGCTTTCGTAGTGTATGTACGGAGTATGGAATTTTGGTCACTGGTTGTTGGTGGTGGTGGTCGCGCTGCTAGGTACTCGTTGTGGTGGGTGGTGGGTAGTGCGCGATGTGAAGGTCCTATTCTGTTTTCCCTTCCCTTTCTTCCTTTTCGAGGGTGGGTCAGATATTCGGAAAGTGAAGGCAAAGGCGCAGGCGCAGGTTGACGGGCCGACGAGAAGTCTTGGCCTGGCGGCTGGGACACCCGGTTTGCTGGCCTGTATGTACTGTACGGAGCACTGCGTAAGGTACTCCGTAGTGTAGGAGGATTGGAGTGTTTGGAGCGTTTGCTGCCCAGTCCAGTATCCAGGATGGTGGAGAGTGTTTGGGAGAGAAAGACGCGGGTCAGGGTTGACCGATTGTGTCGGGGTTTGCAGGGGGCCGTTCGAGATCAATTGTGGCCGCCGCCGCCGCACGTTGGCAAAGGCCCAAAGAGAATTAAGAAAAGAGGCGAACGGAGTGACGGGACAAGTGGGCGGGAAAGGCGCGGGATGGGGAGGCAGGATTTGGGATGGAAGGAAGAGGGAAAAAAAAAAAAAGATTTCGGTGGAATGGGCCAAGCTCAAGGTGTGGAAAGGTCAGCGGGAAGGAAGCTAAAACTTACTTACCTTACTGCTCAGCTAAGGTACCTTCCTTGGGTTGCCTATGGGTAGTGCTACCTTCCTCAGTAACCTCGAGGTATGGTGGCCAATCATCAATTGAATTAATTGACTTTTTTTTTTCTTCTTTTTTTCCTCTTGAGATTCTTCCGTCCCTGCACACGTTGCTTCGTCTTAGGTAAGGCAGGCCACGACTTAGTCGATAGGCAAGCACAGCATGGAACGATGGTGCTAAGTGAACTTTGCAGAAAGAGGAAAGGACCAGCCGCGCGGAAGGCAAAGTCTAAAGACAAGATGGCGCCAATACGCGCGAAATTCACACCGGTTTCATTTGATCAAATGGCACGGCCGCTGTCCACGTCCATGGCGCCTGCCAACTTTGGTCTCTGTTGGGCAAGTAAGCACATCAAGTAAGGTAGGTACCTCAGGTAAGGTAAGTAAGGTACGGAGTATTAGGGTACACAGTAATGGAAGGCACAAGCACCGACTGCAACTTCCATCTTAGAACTCGGCCTGCTCCTTCCATCTGTTGATTTTCGTGATTGGCTCGGATTCACGAGAATGGTACGTAACCACGCAGTGCCTTACCGACCTTACCTTACCTGGTAAGGTACCTAGATTGAGGTAACTGACCTCAAAGTCACGTCGAGTACCTTATCGACATCTCAAGGATAAGGTATCTAGGTACCTTCAGCCAACTTGCCATTGCCTGCCAACCTGGAAATGGCCGACTTTGACACTGACAGCATCTCGTTTGGGCTCTTTGCAGTTTGCTGCACCACTAGGGGATTTTAGCCCAGTGGAATTCGTCCCGACCTTTCCACTAAAGCGAGCCGCCACCGTTCGTCCCCGCCACTGTTCGTCCCCGTCTCACTCTCGACGCTCCTCATGTACCCCATGTACCTTTTGATGTATCCGAACCTCACCACACTCATCCAAAGCTCACCTCAACTATTAATTACCTCCAGGTTGGATATTATGCTAGCCACCTTACTATCCAGCAACCACTGGGCTGTGGACGTGGAAAACTTCCCGAATCGTCCCTCTACCCGCGACACGCCTCTAGCTTGCTTCCACCATCGATTCAACCGGGCCACTTGCAGCCTTGTTTGGTCCGATGCCCGGGACATGCCCTGATGCCACGCATACCGAGGTGCGTACGGAGCACGGAGCCATCCTTTTGTTTCCTATCCTTTTCCACATCATGAGATGAGGGGGTACAACATGTCAAAAGACGACTCCCGTCTGCCCCCTTGAATGGTTAACCACTTGACACTTGTGACCTCCAGGTTGACACAAGTTAGAAAGGCGTAAGAGGTCACCGGTCGAGTCTTTCATAACCTCTAACCTGCCTAGACGCGATCCAGAAGGAAACCACTCATTCTGTGACTCGGAAGAGGGTCTCTCCAACTCCTGTCGGCCCCGTGTTGGCCACCCCCGAGCCTTGAACCCAGGTCGCCCAGCGAGTGACAGGCCCGTTTCCTGTGGCTGGAAGCTCGCTGCAAGGTGAATATCGAACCATCCGCCCAGGGCCGCCCCCCCTCCCCTCCTTCAAACATCCCGGCCTGTCCAATCCCCAGCCGACGGGACAGTCTTAGTCAGATGCCATTCACAATGGAAGGCAGGTAGGTACGAATAAACTACGAGTTTCCGTACCTACCTATCCTCTGTCTTTCTACCTTACCACACACGTGCCGCAGTAGTGTGTACCTACGTACCTTACTCCATGAAAAGGTAAGGCAGGTGCGGATACTCGGTACCTTCTTTACGGATACCCACGAATAAGGTACTTTGCACTTCGGTCCGCCTGCACCGAGTTCGCAGGTCCCGTCGCATAGCACAATCAACACTTGTGCAACACTCGTCCATCAGTCACACCGAGCGAGCTTGAAAAAGGCAACATGTTTGATGAAATCTCTCTTTGCAATACGACTATATAATTGCCTTCTATATTCATCATCAATAATACCCGTTCTAAGAGAAGCAAAAAAAGGACTCCGATGCAGGCACCGCTACCTTCGTGCTGCAATTCCCCCGTCGCACTCGATCAGGTACCAAAAGGAGACTTGCCTTGCCAGCTCCTCCAGGCTCCGAGGTACTTCTGTCCAAAGTCCCACTACCTCCTTCTCCAGCCACTAATGCGCCTGCAGTAGCTCCGTCTCACAATGTGCGTTACGTAAAGGGGTACCGTGACCGCATGTCCCACCGGTTGGTCTGGCCGCGTCTCCTCCACGTACTCTTGCAAATCCGATGCAATTTCAACCTCCCAGCCAAGCCACCGTGGCCACCCCCCATGCAGCAAATCGTTGCTCTCAACGCCTCGTACCGCACCTCTTCGCATGAAGTTGCAATTCCACCAAAGCCACACTCGCAGCAGATCATTGAGGCGCTACCTTGAACTGACCTCATCTTCAATTTCAGCCCTGCACTTTCGAACCCTCTTCTGCTCTCTTGGGCCGCAGAATATTGACCGACGACATCATCGTCATATCGTGGACGTCGTCAACTTCATCCAAAAGAACATGGGATGATTTCCGCAATCCCAACTCAGTCCGCCGCAGTCTCCGTCCCTACGGATACATACCACGGAGTCTTACTACGGAGACCCTCTAGTTGAGTCTAGCTTCTGCTGCTCTGCATCGTCATCTTCCAGGCCAAACCCTCCTCAATCTATCCCACTCTATACCATCCCCGGCCCTGGTCTCTCCTGTGCTACCTTGTCCTGTTTGCTCTACTCTCTACTCCCGGTGAGCCCCCCTCCTATCATATCACCTGTTCTTTCCCCCCCCCCCCCCTTTTGTGTTCGTTGACTTTGCAGCTCCCCGTTGGCCCCATGTCCCGCTCACGCGCCCTTGCTCCAAGTAGAGTTCTCGAAGCCCGGTGAACTAGCCTGGCGTCCTATTCTAGTCGAAGCTTCACATTGCCAATATATCCAGTTGCCTCGGCCAGTGCATACGGCTATTGTCTGCTCGGTGTCAACCAGCCAACATTACTTTCATCACGCGTCCTAGACAGCATAGCATATGCAAAGAACTGGACACCTGTAAAGATCTGCCTAGGACATCTATTGCCTGCAAGCCAGCACCGGCCTTCGCACCGTAGAGCTCCGGAGCACATGTCAAAGCACTAATAGGAGTTGTTGCGCCGCGAGCATGACAAGTCCCAATAAGAAGACCGGCCGGGGAGATTATCCCGTCAATCGATGCCCGTCAATCCCCGTGGGATCTGCTTCACCGTCATCTCAGTGATCGCCCTTTCGTCTCTATCCGCAAGACCGCCGCCAGCCACGACTACTCCGTCAGGTAGTCAACAACGACTAACAACCAATATCCGTACGGCTGGCTTATTCCGCCATCCCGTCACTGCAAACAAGCACTTCGTTCATCCCGCCTTCTGTCTTGCCCGTCTAGCATGACCCATGCTCGCATCCACACTCGACCAGCATCTCCTTTTTCAGCCTCCATCTCGTACCCAATAATGGGGATTTCCAACACTCATCTCTAATCGTCCGTGCTTCTTCATGCGTCGCCCCAGGGTCGAGAGAACTATTGAATTCCCAAGCTGTTCTTTGGGGAATCGAGCATGTACGCAATGCTTCGTCAATCTCATTCGCAATCTCTGGCCACGCAGCTTGCTCCGTCTTTTACCCAAAATCATCAAAATATCCATGGCTCTTAACGTCCCCACGGTGGTATTGATATAGCACAGCCGGCATCCCATGCCTGCACCATGTCGCGTCGCGTCGCTTCGTTAATCGCCCACCGTTGCAACCGCCCTTTTTACCTTTTTGTTTCCCCGCATATCCGGAGCTTCTACGCACTTCCCTCACGAGGTTAGTGCAGACCTTCCGAGGTCATTATTGCCAGCCGAACCGGGTGCTTCCCCCGCCCGTATCGGAGGCCTGGCGACACCATCACCATGTCCGCCCTTTTTTATCTTGAGGCAATTCCTCAGTCTTCTAATCGACATTATGACTGTCTGTACATATCGCATTCGGAGTGACTTCCATTTCCGCAAAAAAGGCCCGATCGCCAGAAAGGCGTTACACGACATTGTGTAACCCCCTTTCTCCTATCCGTACCTATGATGAGCCGTCAGAACTTCATACACAGGTGGACTTTGCGAGGGATTACCACGTTACCGTTGCGCCGTGACCCCAGCGTTTTGTGCCTGAAGATCTTTTCCGTCTTTGCTTACCCAAATGCCGATAACCTTGTCTTCTGGCCCCTCTGCGTGCTGTATCCTTCAGAGGCTCAAGCTACAAATGCCTGGACCGCCTATACTGAAGTCGGCTAAGTATGACATCAAGTCCGAGACGATCTC